AAACAGTCCAAACCAGTATTTATAACTGTTTGAAAAAAATTTAACTTTTGTTCACATGATTCAGCGCGGTACAAGTTGTTCCAGTTTATATCAGCTAGCCACTTACCGAATGCTCTCCTGTCATGATTGTTACCTTGTCTAGTTTTCACTTTTGATGTACCATATTTAGCTGTATTTTTATTAAAGGACCACAGTCACTTACAGATATTCTACCCGAGAAGGTTATTCGTGTGTCTTTTAAGCGCAACGCCAATTTAAAGGAGTTATTGGCTCCCTCCAACCCATATGGCAAGGAAAATACCGAAGTACAACAATTCGGTTGTTTTAATTGTACAGCAAAGCGTTGTGACTGCTGTAAGAATTTTTTGTTAGAAGGGCACATTTTTCGTTCCGTTATTACCAAGAAAGTTTTTAAAATCTGTAAATCGCTTACATGTACGTCCAAGGCAGTGGTATATCTTGCCGAATGTTTGGCTTGTGGTTTACAGGGTGTTGGTTCTACCGTTAATTTTAAGGCCTGCATTGCGAACTACAAGTCACACATTAAGCGTGGGCACAGAACTTGTAGTATTGTTAATCACTTCCTGGATTGCCACGGGGCTGATCATTTATATTTGAAATTTATGCTGGTTGATCAGCGTTGTGGTAATCTGTTGGAATGTGAAAACTTCTGGATTGGGACCCTTTTGACTAATCGGGGAGGGTTAAATGATAGTCATGATTTTGTGCAACAGTGACTTCTTTGTCTATCACTAAGCTTAATTAGTTATCATTATTGTAATATTTGCATATTATTGGTGTATATATATAGGTTAGAAATTATTAGTAATATTATTTCTGTGGAAGGCTGAGACATTCAGTCGAAAATTAAAACTTTATCACTTTAGTACATTTTTAGTATTGGTTTCTCTCGGATCGTAGCCAGCTATTCTGTTGTATATATATATATATATATATATATATATATATATATATATATATATATATATATATATACAACAGAATAGCTGGCTACGATCCGAGAGAAACCAATACTAAAAATGTACTAAAGTAATAAAGTTTTAATTTTCGACTGAATGTCTCAGCCTTCCTCAGAAATAATATTACTAATAATTTCTAACATAATTTCTAACATAAGCGCTCAATAGGTATACTAGAGCTATGTAGAGTTAAGAGAGACTTCTTAGTTTAAAAACATTTAATTGCTACTCTGACTTTCATGCTTCTGCTGAAGCAATCGTCAGGCGACGTCGCTATATATATATATATATATATATATATATATATATATATATATATATATATATATATATATATATATATATTTATATATGTTGAGTTGTGTTATTGTACACTCCGTAATATGTTAAGGTGAAAATGTTCTAGAGTGTGTATTATATAATTTCCATACCCAGCGCAAGCAGAAAGATGTTGTCTGCCGCGGCTGGGTCTCGAACCCGCGACCTTCGAATTACTAGATCGACGCTCTACTTACTGAGCTACACGGTCAGACGGATTTAAGACTGGAAATTATGAAATATATACTGAATGTCATAAACATACTCGTTTATATTAATTCAGCATCGAACAATACTAGTTCTGCAAGTGTTATGTTAGTTGTGTAATTGTACACTCTGTAATATGTTAAGATGAAAATGTTCTAGAGTGTGTATTATATAATTTCCATACCCAGCGCAATATATATATATATATATATATATATATATATATATATATATATATATATATATATATATATATATATATATATATATATATATATATAAATATATATATATATATACCCAACTCAACATAACACTTGCAGAACTAGTATTGTTCGATGCTGAATTAATATAAACGAGTATGTTTATGACATTCAGTATATATTTCATAATTTCCAGTCTTAAATCCGTCTGACCGTGTAGCTCAGTTGGTAGAGCGTCGATCTAGTAATTCGAAGGTCGCGGGTTCGAGACCCAGCCGCGGCAGACAACATCTTTCTGCTTGCGCTGGGTATGGAAATTATATAATACACACTCTAGAACATTTTCATCTTAATATATATATATATATATAGTATATTAATATATATATATATATATATATATATATATATATATATATATATATATATATATATATATATATATATATATATATATATATATATATATCGTGTATACACGAGTCAAATTTTCTCGAAATCCCACTACCCAGGGGCCGGTTGTATAAAACTTTTAATCACTATTTCGTAGTTAAATAGTAATTAACTCTCAAATATACGCGCTTCTTAATGGATGACGATTCCACTAATTCTAGCTAACTTTCATCACTTTTTTAGACAACCGGCCCCAGCTATTCTAAGCCAAATACCATGCAGTCAAAAATGTGAAAGAAAATCCGTGAGCAGGTGGTTCATCTATATGATGACTTTTAAAACGCAATTCTACTTGCTCAATTACTCTCTTTAGAACTACAATCCTGGTCAATAATCCTTGGCGCACTTAGTCAAAATAGCATAACCTTTACTTCATTTCTGATTACCATATAAATATTTGCCAATTTTATACAAAATTTCATGTCCAAACACCCCCTATCCCCCTTATCAATGTTGTGTAACACCTTGGACGTATAACACACTACAGACAACATTGAACGGGGGAAAGGGGGGTTGCTATGCTTGTTATTGAAGTGGGAGTCAAATTTCGCACAGTGCGCCAATATTATTGACCAGGATTGAGCCAAATACCATGCAGTCAAAAATGTGAAAGAAAATCCGTGAGCAGGTGGTTCATCTATATGATGACTTTTAAAACGCAATTCTACTTGCTCAATTACTCTCTTTAGAACTAGTTTTGCCGAGGAGAATGTAAATTATTGACTTGCAATAGCAGAAAAATCCTTTGGCCTTTTTGACAAGAATTAGCCGAGTTGTTAATGGTCATATATACTTGTATCAAAGTTTATCGAAATCCTACACAAGTAACATAGGCAAATTATATAGAACTTAGCTATAAAATATTCATATCTAGACAAAACGTTCAGAAACTTCGGATTGCAAGAATTAGAATAAATTTAATCTATTTAAATCTATTTATGATTTAAAATAGATTAAATTTATTCTAATTCTTGCAATCCGAACTTTCTGAACGTTTTGTCTAGATGTGAATAATTTATAATTTCTATAGAATTAGCCTTGGACATCTGTGCACCGGGGGAAGCCTATATTACTTATGTAGGCTTTCTATAAATTTTGATACAAATATACAGGGTGTATCAAAATAAACGCAATTCATCTTTTGTGCTTAATAACTTTTGAAATACTATTTCTAGTTAAACGCTTTTAGGCTTACTTCAAATGCCTGTTCTTTTCTCTTTCAAACAAACTATTATCCTTGTCTCCAATGCTAGTAATTGCACAGGAAAAGATTTAGTAAAACCTATCATTTTTAGTTGCTGTTTAATTATGCAAGTTTACTATGTTATTGTTTAGTCGGTTTAAATGTTAGAATTTTCTTCTTTAAACTTTAATGTTGTCGTCACTACATCTGGAAAACCACGTAAGAACAAATTAAAAGTATTTTAAAAGAGACCAGGTTGTTTGAAAATCCTAAACGAATGCTAAAAATCGTCAAAACATTCTGGTGTCTGAGCCAGAATGTCATCGAATTGCGATGTAATGTAAACAGAAATTATAGCAAGTTGATGTCAGTGATCAGCTTAGATGGTCCAAGCCAAAATTAAATCGCATTTGAAGTTTCAAACTGAGTTAAAAATAGTGGAAGAAAAGCCGTAATTATACTTATTGCTACAATACATTTAATAAAATGCAACATTTTTTTGTTTTAATGAAAAAATCAGTTATTTTCATGAGAACGATTTGTTATTCCATCTCAATTTTTTTAATCTCCAATCGCAATAACGTAAAGTATTATTACCCGCGAACCAATGAGTCAAATTTAAGAAGCAACCCACTGTTAGAAAGCTGAATGACTACGCTTTAAAATGAATGTAAACTTTAACGTTTTCGTCTATTATTTGTTTAGCAATTTACATTTCAGTCGAGGATTGCGCTTTTTTTGATACACCCTGTATATTACCATTAATAACTCGGCTAAATCTCTAAATCTTGTCAAAAAGGCCAAAGGCTTTTTCTGCTATTGCAAGGCAATAATTTACATTCTCCTCGGCAAAACTATAGTTCTAAAGAGAGCAATTGAAGAATTGCGTTTTAAAAGTCATCATATAGATCAACCTGGTTCCCAGTCTCTTTGCTCTCGTGAAGCGAAGACTCTGGTCGGGGCTGGTCACGTGACCCCGCAGATTCTGCGTGGTAAATTGAATTGATCTCAGGGAGGGGTGGTAGAGGAGTCTGTTTGTTGCGTTTGGAAAATTGCAATTTTATAGTTTCGGGTGATAAAAATGTAATTTGCAACAAGAAATCGCAAAAGGAACCACAGGGGGTCCAACAAAGAGCTGTGTTATGAATATGAATAAAACATATTAATTAAACGTAATATGAATAAAACATCATAACGTAATAAATTTAAATTATTGCACTTACTTGTATAAATCATGAATATAGCTTCAGACAGGGCGCTTATATATGCTCAGAAAAAATAAAATCAAAAAGTGTCCCTTGGTTTACAAGCAAAATTAAAATGCTCATAACCGAAAGAGATAAATTGAAAAGAAAAGCAATTATTACTAAACAAGAATCTGATTGGCTCATTTATAAAAAATCCAGAAATCAAACAAATACCGAATTAAGGAAAGCCAAAACAGACTATTATTCTAAAAAGATTGCTAACCAAAAGTGCAATCCAAAGCAGGCTTGGAAAACTATTAATAGTTTGATCGGAAAAGGTAAGAAACCCACGATTATAAATGAACTAATTATTAATGAATCTAAATTAACAAATCCTACAGAGATTGCAGAAGGGTTAAATGAATTCTTTGCAAATGTTGGACCAAACTTGGCAAGCAAGCTGGATGAATCTAGCTGTGACTTTCAAAAGTATACTAAAAGTTCTGAATCCAAGTTCACTGCATTTACACCAATTGCGGTAAACAAAATTTTTGATCTTTTAAGAGGGCTGTCTTGTAAAAAAGCATGTGGTATTGACAAAATTTCCAGTAAAATTCTTAAATTAGCATCACCAGTTATTACTGCTACACTTACATATATTTTTAATCAAAGTATTACTCTTTGCAGCTTTCCAGATGAATGGAAAGTAGCTAGAGTTTTACCTCTTTATAAAAGTGGTCATCGTAATATTTCTGGTAATTACAGGCCAATATCGATACTACCAGTCATAAGCAAAATCATGGAAAGATTACTGTATGTCCAGCTGTATGATTATTAAACTATGAAAACGAAATTCTCTCTGATAACCAATTTGGCTTTCGAAAGTTTCACTCCACCGCTACGTCCCTTTTAGATTCAACAAATAGTTGGTATGTTAACATGGATCGAAAAATGTTTAACTTAGTAGTTTTTATAGATCTAAAAAAAGCATTTGACACCGTAGATCACGAAATTCTACTTGAGATGCAAATATACGGTATTAAGGATAAGGCACATTTGTTGTTGAGATCATATCTTACTGCCAATTGCAAGTAAATGGTGTTGTCTCGTCTGAACACAAAGTTAAGTGTGGTGTTCCTCAAGGCTCCATTTTAGGTCCTTTATTTTTCCTAATATACATAAATGATTTATCTGAAAGCCTAAATAGGACAAAGCCAAGACTTTTTGCAGATGACACAAACCTCACTGCTTCCGGTAGTACAATTGATGATGTTGAAAATGCAGTGAACTCTGATTTGGAAAACCTCAGAATGTAGTTAAACGCGAACAAACTGAGTCTAAACATTGCCAAAACTGAATTTATGCTCATAGGATCAAGATCTCTAGTGCATACTGTTTCAGATTCAAATTTAAACATAATGATTGAAAACAGACCAATTAAACAAGTGAAGGAATGCAAGACACTAGGAGTAATAGTTGATCAGCATCTCTCTTGGAAAAGT